GAAGATGAGGTTCAGAAGGAGGCATTTCTAAGTTTTCTTTTCCGCTGTGTTTGTCCATCAAAGGATCTGGCCTATACCCAGCCACTGACAATCCAAGGCAGCACTGTTCACCTACCCATCAATAGACAACTTCACTCTTGATTGCTAACTTATTAGTTGTTCTCACTCTAGCGATGAGACTGACTGTGAAGTGAAAGAAATTGCACCAAAAATACAATTGAATGCACCAATATAATAGAGTGTGCCAAAGGGTGGAGAAAAGGTGGCAGGGGGAGGTGTTAGAAAGTAGTACCAGATTTCTTTTTAAAATATCCTTTTCATGTCAACTGGATCAACCTGTCAGAGTTTCTGAGGAGGCCCAAATGGAACCAAATATTCCTTTTCAGGAGTCACCCATGGATCAAGCAAGGATTCTTGGGAAGACACAAGACAAAGATCACAAACTTGGTGACTCAAGGCAGATCTAGCCCACAGACAGGTTTTGTTTAACCTGCAGTGTTAGCACCTAAAACATTATTTTTTTGTAGTAGTTACCAACAATTAAAAATGGAAAGAGTTTGTGGGGTAGATTGTTGTAGTAATGACCCCTCATTTGTACATGCCTCCCTGTATCCAGGCACTTGGGTAAGTCCACACTGACTCTGGGCTTCACCATATGCCTTGCTTTGGCCATTGTAACAACAACAAACACGATCTAGGCAGACTTCAAAAGCACTTGGCATTGGCGCTTGCCCGCTTGCTGCTCTCATGACTCTGAAAAAGCCTACCTGGGGCTAAGCTGCTGGATGATGAAATGTATAATCCAGATACACACATATACCCATGCACATGCATACATCCAACAACCAGCCAACCCCCAGAAACAGAGCTGCCTAGGTGACCAGCAGCTAACCTCAGATGCATGAGTCAGCCCACCCATGCCCAGACCAAACTGCCACCATACAAAATAGTGAGCTAAATAAATGGTGGTTGTTTTAAGCCAAAGTTTTGAGGTAATTGTATAATGCAGCAAAAACTGATAGAGTTCACATAAAAATGAATATTCTCAATCAAAAAAACATCCAAAGACCTTTCAACACTAGAACCACATTCCTACATGGCAACCACCAACTGACATGGGCAGTGGCTACCACCTTTGGCCCAGCCATGGCATGTATTTCCCAGTTTGTCACTATCATCTCACCCATGCTGGGGTCAAGTTCAGTTGCCATGTCATCTTAGTTGGGTGTTGTTTTATCTACAGTAAAGACGACAGTGAAATATTATATTCCACATACTCAGGTTACTATCACAAATGAGAAAACCAGTACAACCATTTGGAAAACTGTCAATATCTACTAAGGCTGAGATATACGTACCTTATGACCCAGCAATTCCACTCCTACATAACTATCCAAGATAATGTGTGTATGTACCAAAAGATGATCAAAACGTTCACAGTAGCACTATTCTTCGTAGCCTCAAACTGGCTGTTAAACTAGTTATCAATAATGCCCATTAACAGGATGAATAAATGTGATATATTCAAAGGAATCAACTTCATGCATAATGCTGTGCACCAAAACCCAGACATAAAAGAATATATGCTACATTATTCCACTTATATATAGTTCAAAAACAGAAATTAAAATGTGGCGTTAGAAGTCAGAGAAGTGGTTACTCTCAGGTGGAAGAGAATGGGAGGGGGCAGTGTCTGAAATGCTGGTAATGCCGTTCTATGATCTGGATGTGTACACTCTTGAAAATTCATTGAGCTGTGCATTTATGATTTGTATGCTTCAACACAGTGTGATTTTTTAAAAAAACTTTAAAAAGTGGGAAAACAAGACCAAGATGGCCGTGTTTCAATACAGACAATTCCTATACTACCTGACATGTTTAATATGACAAAAAGAACAGTTGCCACTATGAAACAAATAGTTATAAAACTATGACTGAATCTGGAAAAGATGCATAACAAATCACCTGATGAGCTAGGAAACACATATGCAATGCCTAGCCTACCTCAGTCATTTGCATTACCTGCCTGACCCCTGTGGGCTTTGGAGCTTGAAACCACTGACGTTAGGAATGCAAGCCTTTTCTATAAACGTTAACCATCGTTTAGCGGACTGAAGACATTGGGTGGGTTTCCAGTCCTTTAAAAAATCAGTTACTTTCCTAATGCTCATCTACCAAATAGGGTTGAAAATAGCCAGTGGAGAGGGTTGTTAGGAGAACTAAAGATAATGTCTCTGAACCCTTAAGACAGTATCAGTGAGACAGTATGTAAACATACAATGAATTATTACTTTATTTATAGTACTGTTAATGATGATTGCTAAGTATTTTTAAAAATTAGAGGTGGCCTGAATGTCGGATGCTGTTCATAGTACAGCCGGCCTAGTAGTACCTAAAGTGGTGATTCTGAATGGGGCAGAGACCATAGTCAAGTATTCCAGGGAAGACAGTATAGGCTTTTCCCAACTAGTACGAAACTTAGATTCTGATGTTATTAGGCCTCATGGCTAGTTTAACATCAGCACAGCCAAACAGTACGAAACTTAGATTCTGATGTTATTAGGCCTCATGGCTAGTTTAACATCAGCACAGCCAGGTTAAGAAACTTTGCCTCTTCTCCCCCTCCTCTTCGGGCTGGAATGCTTTGTACTGAGATAGTGGCTAATCAAGAGCCTATGACTAAACCTACCAGATGTCATTGGACCACAAGGGCTGTGTCATCTTGTATACCACTGATTTTGAAACTGCCCATTACTCTGTCTGAACCCTCCCTAAAAATCTTATAAACCCCATGCTTTCCTTAGTTTGTGGGAACTGATCTGGTTCAGTCTCCCCTCCATATTAGTGGAATAAACCTTTAGGCTGAAATGGTTCCTGACTCAGGTCTCTCTTTTCTCCGTTTCACCAAATCTAACAGATGTGCCCCCTGGATCCTGGAAGGCAGGTCCCTTCCATTTTTAGAATACTATATTTGATTTACCATGATTTTTGGTATCAATGACTGTCCTTCAGAAGTGTTGTGGCTGGGGCCGGCCCGGTGGCGCACTGCTACAGTGCGCCGCTTGGGAGCGTGGCGGCGCTCCCGCCGAGGGTTCGGATCCCACATACAGACCGGTTCCCGCTCACTGGCTGAGCGAGGTATGGGCGCAACACCGAGGGTTGTGATCCCGTTGCCGGTCCCAGTCCGGTACGGGTGCGACACTGAGGGTTGCGATCCGTTGCCGGACACGAAAAAAGACAAAAAAAAAAAAAAAAAAAAAAAAAAAAAAAAAAAGTGTTGGGGCTGGAAAGCTTTGAGAATCAGGACTTTAAACTGAAGAAGGCCATACACTAGAGTACAATGTCTTAAACTTGCCTGATCATTCCAATCATCAGCTTTCAGGGTCCGCCCCTGGAGGTTGATTCAGCAGGTCTGGAGAGGAGAGGGTCAGAACCTGTACCAGTATTTCAACAAAGGCCTTCGGTGATTCTTATACCAACTCAAGTTTCACCTGGTGAAATTTAGCATCCAAAAGACCTGGATCCAAATTCAATTCCCAGAATTTATCAGCTGGGTAACCCTTGGAAAATTACAGAAAATCTGAGTGTCTTCGCTTGTAAAAGGAGAGATAATAATTACCTCACAGGACTGATGTACTAGAATTAATGCAGAGCACAGGACCAGATACTTGGTAAAAGCTCAAATAGTAATTATTGTTAGTTGAATAAAACTACATATTACATAAAATTAGCCATTATTGAAGAATTATTCCCAACTGAAAACTGTAGGGGTTTCCTTGGAGCCTAATTTAAATTAAACCATTAAAATCTCCTGTCTTGGGCCGGCCCGTGGCTCACTCGGTAGAGTGCGGTGCTGATAACACCAAGGCCCCGGGTTCGGATCCCATATAGGGATGGCCGGTTCGCTCACTGGCTGAGCGTGGTGCTGACAACACCAAGTCAAGGGTTAAGATCCCCTTACCGGTCATCTTTTAAAAAAAAAAAAAAAAAAAAAAAAAAAATCTCCTGTCTTGTCCTAACTCAACCTGGGGGCCATGGATGCATTTCTGGTGATCTTGATTCTCCCATATTTGTGAACGGGACTATTTTTAAGGATAAAGACTCTTCCAAAGGCTGGCCAGTTAGCTCAGCTGGTCGGGGTGCAGCCTTGTAATATACCAAGGTCACGGGTTCAGATCCTCAAACCGGCCAGCCACCAAAAAAAAAACTTCCTCCAGATCCTCCAAGGGACCCATGCCCCACAAAAAAGTACCTATCTATCCTAATGGTAGGGCCCAAAGAACTCCTCCCTTTTTTTTTTCTGCTTCATTTTTTTTTTTAAGTAATACATGCACAGTTTAAAAAGTTAAATAGTACAAAGAGTATACAGAGAAAAGTTAAAATTTCTTCCATTTCCTGGGTCCTCCTCTCCAAAGGCAACCTTTGTTAAAAGTTTAGGTATCTTCGGGCCGGCCTGTGGCTCATTCGGGAGAGTGCGGTGCTGGTGACACCAAGCCCCCGGTTCGGATCCCATGTAGGGATGGCCAGTTGGCTCACTGGCTGAGCGTGGTGCTGACACCACCAAGTTAAGGGTTAAGATCCCCTTACCGGTCATCTTTAAAAAAAAAAAAAAAAAAAAAAAAATTTAGGTATCTTCCAAAAGCGGGATTTCTCAAGTTCATATTTATTGACATTTTTAGTGGGTGCTGTCCTTTGCATTATAGGATGTTCACGAGCATCCCAGGCCTCTACTCACTATATGTTCATTAGCGCACATACACCCGCGCTGAGGAACCCCCAAATGTCTGCAGACTGCCAAATATGGGAGACAAAATCGCTCCCGGTTGAGAACGGCTGCTTCCAGAGAGACCCTACGTATACACAAACAGAGGTGTATGTACGTCTACTCTTTTCTTTCAACAACTGGCGGCACACAGGCAGAGTTACTTTCTAACTCATTGTGGGTTTGTTCCGCGGGCGGGGGCCGGCCTGAGCCTCGGCAGGGGGCGACCGCCACTCACCAGGTCGCGGATGAGCTGGTCCACCAGCTGCTCCCCGCCCCCCGCGCTCTCGCGGGCTGGAGGAGAGCGGGAACGGCTCGCTGCGTCCTGCCTCTCGGCCCGAGTCGCCCGCGCCGCCGGGGGCCGCCCCGCGCCCTCCAGAAGACCCTGGGCTAGCGCCAGGTACCCCGAGGCCTGCTCGCCGCGCCCGGGGGCCACCTCTAGCCGCCGCGGCCGCCGCTCGGCAGCCTCGGGCCGCCTCCGCTTCCTCTGCGCCTGGGCCTGCGCCAGCTCCTCCTGCCAGCGCCGGCGGAACTCCTCCAGGCTGTGGTCGTCCATCGTCGCTGCTCTCAGGCCTCCACGTCCTCCTTGGTCTCGCCGGGTGCCACGGCACAGTCCCTCCGCGGGAAGTGTCCGCCAGGCCGGAAACCACGGCAGGCGCAGCTCTTGGGTTCCGGGTGGACGGCCAGGCCCCGCCACGCCCCCCGCGCTGGTCCGGTGCACACGTGACCGCTCTGCTTGCTGCGCCCGGAGGCTGAGGTCTGTGCCCCGCCTCCGCACCCAGCTTCTCGGCTCTCGCTTGTAGCTTTTGCCAAGCGCAGACTTTGAGCCAAGCACAGTTCCTTTAAACAAGCATGCATTGGACGACTTCGGTGTGCTGGGCACTGAGAATTCAGCATTTAAATCTGCAGGAAGGAAAATAAATACATTTCTGCCCACTTGGAGCTTACATCCAGAGACTTTAAACAAATGAATATGAACTTTTGAATCAGCGGTAGGTGTTATGAAGAAAATAAAATAAGGTATAAAGCGATTGGCAAGGGACAGTGATTTAGGATTAAGAATCATAAGTGAAGGCCTAAGGAAATATCTTTTTTATTTTTTTTGGCGGTCTGTATGGGGATCCAAACCCTGACCTTGGTGTTATAAGGCTGCACTCTAACCAACTGAGAGATGGTCATTTAAACTAAGAGCCAAATGAGGAGAGAAACAAAGCAAGGGGGAAGATCAGATCTCAGGAGAGAGATGTCCAGAAGGAACTACAAGTTCAAGGGAAGTAAGGTGAGAAAGAAAGTGGGATACGATGCCATTCCATCTTCAAAAGGCCATTTTTTGTACCTGTTGTTCCCTCCACGGGAAGGCCCTCGTGCCCCCCACCTTGACCTAGTTAGCTCCTACAAATCTTTCATATCTCAACTCACACCTCACTTAATCTTCCTCACTCAAAAAACATCAGATCTCCGTTACTCATTCTCACAGCATCCTATGCTTCTCATCCTAACACAGTTTGTAATTCTGTATTCATGTGATTATTTATTAATAATCTCCCTTCCTTTCTAGACTGTCAACTCTTAGCTCGGAGGCCAGTGAGTAATAGGAGCTGGATAAATATTTACTGAATAAATAACAACACTTTAAGATGAGAATTATTGTCCCCACTTAACAGATGAGGAAACTGAGGCATAAATATTTGAGAAAATTGTTGAAAATCACACAGCTGATAATTTGCAGACCCATGACTCTAATTTTTTTTTTTTTAAATTCTGGACCTGACCTGTTAATCATTAAGACATACAGCCCACATGCCTAAGCCAGCTGGAAACCACATGGCTGCCTCTAGCTACCATGATTTTTATTCAATATGATATCAATGGCATGGTTATTAACATCCAGGCTCCAGAGTCAGACGGGCATATTTAGATGGGAATCCCAGCACCTTCATTTACTCAAATCCCCTTTCTTCCAGCAATTTCAATTCTAGGAATTTATCCTAAGAGAAGAATATTGAGGATGAGTTCAAAGAATACTTATGAGTATGTTCACTAAAGCATTTATTATAGTACTGAAAATCAGAAGCAATCTAAATAGCCTATAATAGGACATAGGTTAAATAAATTAGGCTCATTAGAATGTAAGATTGATCATAACTAGAATGTCAGCTCCATGAGAACAGAGGCCTGATCTGTTTTGTTCTTTGCTGTTTCAGCACCTGAAACATTGCCTAAGACATAGTAGCTGCTCAGTAAATAATAAATACATGAACTACTGTACAGCTATTAAATATTACATTGTAGAAGAAAAATTAATCACATGAAAAGATTTTCACAATGTAGCCAGTGAGAAAGTCAGGACACGTAACCATATATGTAGTAGATCCCTGTTGTGTCTTTAAAAAAAAAAAGCGTGCATATGCATTTTAAAAGTAAGAATATATACCCAAATCTGAACAGAAAAGATTTCTAGAGAGGGCAAGATTATGGGTGATTTTAGTGTTCTTTTTCTTTATCTGTATATTCTAATTTTCTACAGTAAATGTTGTCCTAGCCTGGGTTCCCCTCGAAAGCAGAGCTTGAGACCTGGGCTTGCAGGAGGCTAGCTTACTTGGGGAAGTGATTCCAGGGAACAGGAGTCAGGGATTGAGAAGAGTGAAACAGGGAAGGAGGGACAGCTAATCCAAAGAGTATATATCTTCAAAAAAAGGAAACAATTTTGTAAACATTTTTCACATAAGAATATGTGATGAACATTTTCTCATGTTACTAATTAGGACAAAATCATTTGTAAATATCTGAGATTTTTCTATTAATGGCCCAAACTTAATCTCTAATCAGTCCCTTATCAATGAGCATTTTAGTTCAAATTGCTTACTATTGGGTTTTTTTTTTGTCTTTTTCATGACCGGTAAGGGTCACCCCACCCTTGGTGTGGTGTCGCCCGCACCGCGCTCAGCCAGTGAGTGCACTGGCCATTCCTATATAGGATCCGAACCCGTGGCGGGAGCGTCACTGCGCTCCCAGTGCCGCACTCTCCTGAGCACGCCATGGGGCCGGCCCCAAAGAGTTCTTGAGTTGGTCCTGCTGTAGGCAATTTAGGCTTCATCCCACTGGGACCTTCTAAGGAGCCTTCATGAGCATACCTCAGGATTGTCTTCCCAAGAGAGAAGGGAAGGCCAGAAGAGAGGAGCATGTATCCACTGACTCTCATCCCCCATTAGAGAAAGGGTAAGCCAGGATTTTAACAACGTCCCACTTCTAGGTTGGATATAAGTAAATGGATTTCTGCTAATGTCCCATACCAAGGCAGCAGAGATGCCCTGGGGCAAAAAGCAAGAGATACCCTGTGCAGTTAACAGGAAGGACAGGTTACCTGTGCACAAAGCCAGTTGCTACAGCAATGACTGAAATATGAATCAGCAAGATGTAAGATGAGGCATAAGTGTCCAATATAAATGTGTTCTTTTATTTTTTCCTCTGTAAAGATTTTATTATACACAGAAGGAGGAGGAGACTCAGTTCTTGGCAGCCGCTTTCCTCCTGGAGGTCAGGACAGCTTCTCAGGGTGCAGGTGTGTGTCCCCACCCTTTTCTTGATGAAGTGAGCCCACTTGTCCTTGGAGACCTTGAGCAGCTCTAAGGTGTGCCACTCATATGGGACAAAGCCACACACCCCTTGGATTATGTCCCACAGTAACTTTGTGTACTCGGTGAGGTGCCTACCGTGATGGCGGCTGTACCTCGACTTGCTCACATTCTTGGTCACCTTGTGGCCCTTGTTGAGGCCCATGGCCATGCGGCAGTGCAGAGCTATGGCAGCTGCTCTTCAATGGCTGCTGCCATATAGGTAATCTTTTTGTAATAAAAATAGAAACAATGAGCTATTCTCCCCCAAGCATTTAGCTAACATCGCAATTCAGCCTACATACCTTCTATATGGAATCCAAGGGTCAAATTTACTTTATCTTCTTGAGTCAAAAGCCAGTTATGGCTATTCTGATATTTTAACAATTTATGGATCATCTAACATTTAAAACAAAAAGCAAACTGGAAATTTTTAAACACCTAATTATTATGCTGGTCGAGATCAGTGTTTCCTCTTACCACTTTAAAAGAATTTTTACAGGGTCAGTGCAGGCAGGCAAATGGGGCCATTAGTCCCCCAGATAAAATGAAAAAGAAAAAAAAAAAGGAAAAAGAAACATGCTAAGTGGAAGGGAAATATTGCCCTTTTCTCAGTATTCTTAGCACTCACTATTGATATCTATGTTGATTTTATATCTTTGCATTAGTAAATTCCTGGGCCTCCATTTCCTCAAATGGAAAAGATACAGATCTTCCCTTCTTTGGAGTGACTGTAAGGCTGATAAAATGCCTGTAAAACTCATAGCATTCATGAGGGACATAGTAGGCATTCAATAAATGATGGCTATGATCCATATTAACATGGTCTCAGCATATAGAGATTCTGTCTAACCTATGCCCTATTGGTCTTGTATTCCATGGGCCCCAATTTTTTCACATCAAGGGTGTCCTTTAAAGCTCAACCCCTTAAAGTTCTTTGGTTGCAACCAACAGACACCAAGTCTTGCTACCCTAGGCAAAATGGAATTGAACTTGGAGGATGGCTCACAAAGTTAAATGAAAAGAGGAATAACCAGCCCCTTGGAATGTCATGAGCCAGGTCAGACTCAGGAATTTCATCATAGGAACTCATGAACCGTTTCTGTAGGATGTGCTCACTGCCCGTCTTCCATCTTCTGGGATTCAAATTCCCAGAACATAGATTCTTTGAGTGTAGCCCCTGGACCAGCAATACCTGGGAACTTGTTTGGAATGCAAATTCTCAGCCCAGACCACTAGTCAGAAACTCTGGGGGTGTGACCCCAGCAATCTGTATTTTAACAATCCCTCCAGGTGGTTCTGATGTACAATCCAGTTTGAGAATCACTCTTCCAGAGAATCGTCTGAACTAATTGAGTCATATTCCCAACTTTTGACTGGGGAGACGGGGGTTACCAGTGGCTGGATCTTCAGGACCACATGAAAGGGAAGAGGCAGAGCTCCCCAAAATAGAAGAAGGGGGAAGGAATTCTGGGCCAAACTAAAACATCTAGAAGGCTATTGTAGGAGGGGGACTCTGGGAATTCAATCTTTTTGTCTCCCATGCTACCAGTGTCTTCTCTGCCCATTGTTGATATATGGCGTGTTCCCCTAGGAACCCCAAATGAGCTTCTGCTAGAGCCCCAGAAAGATGGCTGAAACATGGCCATTATCCTTCCCCAAATACCTCCTATCTCACCTGTCTCCCTCAGAACAGATACACATTGGACTACAGAGGTGCAAGAACTTCTTTACTTCAGAGTTAGGTAGGTCTCAATAAGGTAGTTAGGGTGGGAGACAAGAGCAGAGATTATTAATTTTTTTTTCATTCTCATAAACAAGATAAGAATGTGTATCAGTCTCCTATTGCTGCTGTAACAAATTAAGTGGTTTAAAACAACACACAATTGCTCTCTTACTGTTCTAGGGGTCAGAAGTGCAAAATCAGTTTCACGGGGCTGAAAGTAAGATGTTGGCAGGGCCCTGCTTCTTCCCTTCTTCCCTCTAGGAAGGAATCTGTTCCCTTGCCTTTTCCAG